GAAGTCAGTGGGAGACAACAACTAGGCGTACTAGACGAGTGATTGTGAATTACCTGTCTACTGTCCACAGACTCTTAACCTATAAACATGGCAGTAAGGTCAAGCCAATTTTTCACCTTTTAGTGTCATGAAATCACCACTCAATAATTTTTTTTAAATGGTTTGTGTGGAAAATCACTCTAATATTTAATTACAACTTAAACTTTGTATTAATAATTAATTAGTGAATAGAATGTGTATACTACATTTCATATGGTAATTCAAAAATGTACTGTGTAGGTGTTAGTCAAGTACCAAAACTTTGTAATATTTGTAAGAACATTTTAAAACCATGGTGAGCTCCCTCATGTCTGAATCAGAATATAAAACTCATATTAATGGATACCTAATGATTTATGTCATGAAGAAACAACTCATTTTAGGAGACATCATTCAAGAAATAGAGAAGGAAAAGTGAGAGGAGTAAAAATCTTCTATGTGGTCCCCTATCTAAGAATACAGTAGAAGACTTGTAATAAAAACAGGTAATGTCTGTTATTAAAGAATCACTTTTAATTAATTCTTTAATTATTTGAATTATGAACTTTTTCATGTAACTTTAATGCGTAAAACAATATGACTGTATGCATTATTTTATAATCAAGCAAGTGATTTTAAAATTTTACTTCTTTGCATTAAATAATGTGGAATTTCTTCCTTTCAGAAGTCGCTCATGATGGTTTCATGGAAGATCTCGAGCAGAGTTACTTTTTGGAATAGAAAAAAAAATAAGAAAACCTTTTTTTCTTATTAGAAGTACTTAATATAGATTAACCTCAAGCCACCTTCGTAACCTAGTTTTCCATATAATTGAGAATTCCTTTATACCTGGAGACAGGTATAAAGAAGAAAATGTCACGAAGAAAAATATCATGATGAAACTGACAAAAAAATTGGAAATTGGTAGAAAAGGAAATAACTATTGAACAAAGTAAACAAAAAACAGAGTAAAGCAGAATGCAGAATCAAATATTATTCATCTAACTGATGTAAATTTAAAACTTCATTTAAAGCATTTTACTTAAAAGGTTCATTTTAAAATGTCTTACTAAAAAAGCATAGCTAAACTAGTCAATATTCAATTTTAGATAAACTTTTAATTAATATTTTAGTCCACAAAAACCATTTATAAAAGAATCCAGTTCCAGAATAGAAAAACATAAAATAAAAAATAAATCTACGCAAAATAAAATCAATATAAAAATGTTCTAAATTATATTTTAAAGGGTGCATTAATTGTATTGACTTAAGATACTAAATAATATTTATCATAGTAGCTGGTGATTTTAATGCACATATGGGTCAATCCACTAGAAGATATGAAGCAATACATGAAAGACTATGCAGCAAATTTGCCAGAAGGGGAAGAAAGCAAATAGTAAGTTGTGTGACATGAAGATTCCAATGAAACTAAAAGGAAAATTCTATAAAACTGTCAAGACCAGCTATGATGTACAAAACTGAATTTTGCGCAATTAAAAATAAAGATGAATGATGAATACATGTTCCAGAAATGAGAATGCTTAGATGGATGAGTGGAAAAAAAGATTTGTGATTTGTGAATACAAGTAAGAATGAGTATATTAGGGAAAGTCTATAGGTTGCACAAATTAATGCCAAAATGAGAGGGCATGGGCTATGATTGTCCAAACTTGTATCGCAATGAAACCTGATTTATATCAACAAAGATTAAGGTTACACATGTGTCGAAGTTTTATTGGTGGCACCCTCTATACGACCATATGCAAAATTAAAGAGACAAACCTCATAATACAGGAAATGCAATGTTATTAAATGACAACAATATCCAGAAAAGCACTACAAGATATACAAAGCTGTTAAAGTAAAATGTCGTTGGACTTTTTAGTACAAGTGCAGAGGCTGAAATGGATAGATATCAAACAACAAACAAATGATGAATTAATGAGGATAATATAAAATAAAAACCAAAAAATGCTAGACCTAGAAGAAAGCAAAGCAGTTGGACCTTTCATTTGCCAAGTAGCTCCAACAAGTAAAAATAGATATGTCATATTAGTGATTAATTAAAAATTTTAAAAAAATATAAAAATATATTCTTCTTCTTAGAGGTCTCCATACGGAGGTTGGCAATCATAATGGCTATTTTTATTTTAGAACTTGCTGCTCTAAACAAATCAATAAATCTGCATTGATACCAATCACGTAGATTCTTTAACCATGAGTTCTGCCTTCAGCCAACAGATCTTCCTTGAATGTTTCCCTTTATTATGATTATGAGTCTCAGAGTCTAAAAGTACCACTCTGTTCTTCATGAGCTTCTATTTCTACAGATTTATCTTATTTCGTTTGTTTCTTTGATTTTTTTGTTGGAATATTTCAATGTTTTACCTGTTATGGTTTAATTTCTAGTTATATATTGTCTTTCTTTTGACGATATCGTTAGTCTTCCATGGTTTTTTGCCTATGTTTGATGCATTCGATCAATTGCAGTTGAGTTATGTATTAACAGATTCAAGAAAATTGCAAATCCAAATGTTAGTAGAAGGGCCAAAGTGTATAATCCTTTTAAAAACGGCAACACTTTCTACAACATTCCAATACTGCTATACTACTGCTATATACTGCAATATAATAAAGCAAATATAATACTGCTTTGAAAAAAAGAAATGTGGCAAATTATTAGAGGCATTGTAGTCTCTTGTAATGCCAAAACCTTTTTATCAAAAGATATTACCCATTACCAAACCCATGCTTTTAGTCAGAGGGAATTACAATTAACAGAAGGACTATAAACAAAGTAAAATAAGCATGAAAAACAAAAATTGAAATATTTACCAAAAGAAGTCTTTATTTTTTTATTTTGGAATATCCTTGCTGGGGTCATGCAGCTGACACAGAGTATTTGGTCTGCAGATAAAGGTAGTGAGGGTCCTTGCTGAATTGGGATTTAGGAAAGCCTGCCGTCAGGCTTATGAAAGATTGGGAATTCTTACTGTACCAGCACAGTACATTCTGGAAAACCTTCGATTCATGAAGAGGAATACCAATATTTACAAAAGTCACGAAGATCAGCATGATTATGATACTAGGCAAAAAATAGAATATAATACCAAAGTAATAACATTTGAAAAAGTGTCAAAATGGACCAGAGTATTAGGCAAAAAAAATGTTTTAATGTTCTGGCTGAAAATACAAGAAACTTGCCTGAAAAGGAATTTGAAAATGAAACTAAAAAAATGTTGATAAAAATTTTAATTGAGGTTTTGTAAGTGTAAGATTAGAGTATTGCGATTTGAAGGATGGAACCCCAACTAGAATATTTAAAAATGTTTGGCAACAGGAAAACAAATGCCATAAGTTAAATGGCAACTCTGATTGACAATCTCCAATGGAGGAGCTAAACACAAGAAGAAAAAGTCTGCATTGAAGTAGCATAATATACCACAATCAACAAGAGATCTTTGTAATAGCTCTTGGCTTGGTTTTAGTTGTATCTCTTGTACTCTGCTTTAAAAACAAGTGCAAAAATCAAAATTAACACAAATTCGGGTGTTTATTAAACTAAAATAGTCTACATAAATATTCCAGAACTGGACTCTTGGATATTCTAAAATTGGTGGTGGTTTTTACATAGTAGTTGCTATGGGTTGTAGCCATTTTGGCAACAAAAACAACTATGAGTACTGTGAAATTCTGCTCTTTAAACTTTCTTACCTACAGTAACTGAGCATAATTAGAATGTATATTTTGTAATGGAAAATAATATATTTATTCAGAAATGTAATTCACAAATTATTTTTTCCTTTGAGAAAATCATAAATTGGATAACTCTAGTTATACTCAGTATTCATCATGTATTTACAGATATATGTTAGCTCTTTGTTGAGTAATACTTCCTTCATATAGTAAAGCGTTTACAATAGTAACATTACAAAAGAAATAGGTAACTATGACTTTCCAGAAATAAATTTATGTAATTCGATTTATAGATGGCAGTATATTATGAGTCTAAAGACATCAAACCTTTTGCTTCTGTCTAAACGATTTGAGACAAACTTTTAGACAGAACTCACAAACACTAAGGTTATTTAGATGCGTAAAACATCATATCATTCAACATTTTACTCTCAATTTCTATGAAAAAAATGAAAACAAGTAAATTGTTTTGCAATTAATTTCTTTATTAAAAAAATGTACAATTAAGGGTAAAATGCTACTTTTATACTCTTTAAAAGTCCCCAGTTTCACCTTATTTTAATTTTTCAAAGTAAATCTGAAAGCTTTTTATCTACTATATATAAACAAATCAATAATTTATATACCAAAAATAATTTTTATGCAGAAAAGTTGTAGTTTTTCTAATTTCAGGGTAAAACTGTATAAAAAATGATTAAGCAAAAACAGAAGTTACCACACTTTTCTTTATCTCACTGTTTTTCGATGTACATTGAAAAATCCTCGGACTAGTGTTACAAAACAAAAGTTAACAGTAATCCTATTAATAACATTCGTTATGGCATGATATTTAGCCAAATCACAAAAAAAACTGCTGATATAAATCAGACCTTATATTCTCTAAAATTAGAAGCAGGACAAACTGGGTACAAGAAAAGTATTGGCTAAATGATGGGACAGAGAGCTCTACAGTATGACTGTGCTACAAACAAAGCTTCAACACAGTAAGGCAGTTTTGACAGAGCTTGCTGTTGCTATGAGACAGTTCAAGGAGGCCTTGAAACTGTTCCATGAAATTGGTGTATAGGAAAATCATTAAATTAATTTGAGAACAAAGAAATGTTCTTGAATAATTGTGTAATACCTTTTTAATGTCATTTTCTTCATTTTACTTTACAATTATTGTAAATTCCATTAAATGATTTGCAAAATTTTCGAGTTCCGTAAAATATTACTCAACAATAAAGTTAACTATCATAAACAAATCAAACTTTAGAAGAGTAAAAAAAAAGTTTAAAAAGTACCTATGCCTCCTTGACGATCGGTATCTGTTGCAGTCTCTAGCGTAATGTCCGCGATCTCCGCAATCATAACACCTGTCATCCGGGTGAAATGGTTTTCCACGAGATCGGGGAGGCGGACCGCGATAACGTCCATTACCGCTTTTCCCGTTGGACATCTCAACTCTAGCTCTTCGCCCGCATATCGTCCGGCCATCTGTAGGGAGACAAAATATTAGTGTGTAAGTTGGTTCAAAATAGTGGCAAGCATACATTTTTCTACTCGCACTCTGTGACTGCCGATTCTATGACCATCTGATAAATGAAGATGAGAAAATTTAGTTAATATAGTATAATAAAATTATTATTTATTAAAGTGGACTGTTTTTTGAAGAACCTCGATAGATTTTGCATACTTTTGATATTCCTTATTATATAATTTGTGTATTCGTATATAATGTACGGGACATAGGTTTTCACAAAAGTTGCTCTCTATACCCAATTTTGATGACTGATTTGTACATTGATAGGGTTCATTACAAGATCAGTGTAAAAAAATTGATTATTGGGATTTCATTTAATTATAATTATTATTATGAAGATAGATCAATTATATCAATTTTACTATAATCCCATAGATAGTGTTTTTTTTTATAAGAGGACTGAAATTACTAGTTCTTATAAAAGTAACTCACTTTCTCAATTATAAATGATTATAGCTTTCGTTGCAAGTAGTAATAAACATGACAAATATCTGAAAGTTTTAACCTACTAAAGTTTCTGAAATAAAGTACATGAAAGTTTACATACTGACAACTGAGCAAATGGAAATAAAAATGTCGCAGAAGGAATCGTCAAATGAGCATGTAGCTGTCTACGTCTTAAATATGGAGAAAAGTTATTGAAACTGTGAGATTGTAGATACAACAATTTACTAATGTTTGTATTTTGAGAACAATTTCCGAAGTGGAAATTAAAACGTGAATAAACTTACTTTAACTTTTAATTGTGGCTTATTTCCATTTAAATAGTAATTACAATAGTTGAGAATGAGTTAATATAAGGTATATTATGATGCATACAAGTAGAGCATTTCTGAAACTCAGCGAATTCTCATACACAAAAACACAATATATGGAATCCCAAAAGTACACATTCTAAAAGTACAGCTCAACAACTTGATTTAAAAACATATCTATACTGTTTGGCATTTGTTGTTTACAAATAATTTAAAGATAATACCTAGAATGAAAAAATCACAAAATAAGTAAATTACAATTTAAGTATAAAGCACAAACTAGCTGCCACTTGAGATATGATTTAGTGAGATAAATGAGAGTCATAAATGGTGTTTTATACTTTTGTCAGTGCTAAAAAAACATTATTATAAACATAGAAATGAAGACAAAAACAATAGTCCACTGCAATAACTCTCAGAAGAAATTTGTTATTTACTTCAAGCATAAAAATTTATATTTACTTTTGTACACAGTGTATGTTTTATATATTCCTGATTATAAAATTCCAAAAATATATATTTTTTTTTCTCCATCAGTGGCAGATAAAATATGACACCTACCCGTCGGCGCACAAAAATTAAATTTAACTAAAAAAATTAACAAAACAGTATTTAAACGGGTCAATTACAGTGTTTTGATAACAAAATACTGTAATAAAACATGAATCAGAAGTTCTAGGGCACAGAAAGATGCAGTTGATTATTTAATAAATAATAATTGGTATAAACATCTAAAAATAAACAAAAAAAATTAATGAACAAGAAACACCAAAAAACTAAAAACTCGGGGATCAACAAAAAACAGTTTAGAACAACATCGGTGTTACCTAATCCTCGAATAGCATCTTCTGCATCTCTGGCGTCTTCGAACTCTACAAAAGCAAAGCCGGGTGGATTCCTAGCTACCCAAACGTTTCGTAGGGGTCCATAATATTTAAAAGCATCTTCGATTTCCTGTTTCGAGGCACTATTTCCTAAATCTCCAACATATACTTTACAGTCTGAATATCGAGACATCTTGATGAGGTACCTAGGGGGAAACAGCAAGAATGCTATTGATTTTGACTCAGTTCAACCGGTATAGTTTTATTTGTGTCATTCTTTAAATCCCTTGGAAATTTTGTAACTTACCTCTTTAGCACTACAATAAAATTAAACCCCGCGAGGAGGCTGTAAATCTTTCACGAAATACCAGAAGTAATTTAAATTTATTATACAATTTAAAACAATATGGAGGCTCTTTCGAGTTCTTAAACCCGCTTTACTTCGACCGGTAGCGGTATTCAGTTTCCGGCTTGTCTTCTTGTAGCTTGGTTTACAGTTCTACAACTTGCAAAAATAAAATTCTCGAACAGGTATACACTTCAGTTGTTCTGGAAAATAATAATTAAATGAATTACAATACATGAGTGAAAATAAATTATATAAACATTTAAAAAATATTGTATAAGTAAGGCAAATCAGTCTGCTATTTAATTTAAGTTCACAAATTATTATACAAGGGATTTACGATCTTGTAATGAAACATGGATCATTATGTTGGTTATGCAATGACAAATATATGACATATGTCATCTGTATACACCGCGTATTTTAAATTTAAGAAATAATATTTTCGGAAAGGCATATAAAATAATGATTTTAAATGAGTCAGTATATAAGTTGTTATAATTATAGCATAATAGGTGTAAAATGTTAGATAATGTCTGTTTATAAGTACAGTACATTAATGCATATTTGAAGTACTGTTTTATCTTTTTGTATGTCACCCGCAAGAACTGTAGTGCTGGAACCATTCATCTGTTCTTAAAAATGTAAGTTATGTTCTTTTAATTATTCTTATTTAGTTGTTTATTTTTATCACTCTTCAATGCTTCTAAACATTTTGTTTAAATAAGGTTTTAAACATATTTACAAGATAATTTACTTTATCTTTGACCTTACACTAGTAAAGTCATGAATATTTATTTAATAAAGTCTAGTTGACTTGTGGTATCAGTGAAGTGTGTAATCACTTAGAAAGAAGGTAAGTATACTATGCCCATTAATTTTTTTCAATGTTACAACTGGTTTCTTGTAAATTTATCAGATGATCTTCAAATAACTTCTGATTTTGATATCCTTGTGGTCAGTCAGTGTGTATTTGATACTTTCACTTAACATTCAAATAATATGAGATCTGTTTTACTTATATTGTGTTATCTAACTCTTAAAAGGTAGGGAACTGGTCGATATTTACATAGCTATTTTATCTGCTTTAAGTAACTTTTGAAATTTGAAATTTTTTGAAATGTACACTTAATTTAAATAAGTTGTTTCCTTAAATCTGCCAAAGAATCCGGTTAAAATTGTAGATTTATTATGTCCTTGTAATATTTCTACTTTGGTTACTGTTCTTTTATGTATGTAGGGTGGCAGTTTTTAAAAAAAATCCCTATCTTCTGATCACTGAGTTCCCTGCCTTGTTTTATTATTTTTTAAATTAATTCGTAATCAGAATTTAACAAATTTGTTACAGAACCATGGCACTAAGTGCACAGGCATTGCCTGTTGAATCCAAAAAACTGTTTGTGCCACCATTACCAGAACTTGCCGAAGGTACGTAAGTAATTAATATATATTTTGGTTTATTATTGTCATTCCCTCTTTTAGTTGTTAAAAAAACTTTACAAACCAATTTTGCTGAAGTAACTGTAGAAGTAGTAGACTGTCCAGATTTAACTAAGGAACCATTTACATTAGCAGATAGCGGTAAGTGCATTTAGAGTGTTTTTCTCATAGTTTTATATATTTAAATGTCACAAACAAAGCTTTGACCCATCACTGATAGTGTATTATCACCTCTCAGACAAAAATTAGTGATTCAAGACTATATAATAATTATTTTAAAAGTAAACTCAAGATTTTGCTTACACAAGGATATACTAGGATGGATACCTGGATTTGATCCATACCTAACTACAGTTATTTAATACTGTTTTATTTCCTAGTGCATCAGTTTTTTATATATTTTTATTATTTTTTATCTTAACACTGACATATCTGCTCAGTATTGCTTATATGTATTTTAGTGAATTTTTTTCTTGTCAATAACACTTTTATGCTTGTATGAACTTGAACCTATAAATTTTTGTTTGGTATTTAGTTTTTTCTTCATATGTTTCCTCATAAATGTAATTAATTCATATTTAGTACTAATGTGTACATTTGTCGCTTTTAGGTCTTGGTGGAAATCCTAAATTAATAGAGGTAGGTGGCAATCCCTACCTATTACCTAGTGTGAAAAGAGATAAAGTGTATGATGTAAAAGATATTGTCAAGCTTGCTAAAGCTGACCCTGCATTTCTCATTGGACCTGGAGCTGGACCTCATCCCTATATTGGTGGCAACTGTGAGGTAAATATTATTAAAACTCTATATAAACTCTATATGCTAGCCTCTTATAAACACTACAACATTAATAAATTTTAAGGCTAATAGAATCCTGAACATAGCTTTTAAATAATAATGTATATTTTCGTCAATTTTGAGCTGATTCATTTTGTATTTTTGCCAACATTTAAAGGTATTTTTAAACTATTGTGTTAATTGTTGATACGCTGAAAAGTAAAACCAGGCTTCCTTTTTCGATTGTTTCTTACATGTAACTAAAAAATTTACAAGCGGAGAACTCCTGTTGCAGACTTTTTCTAAATCTATATTTTAGAAAAGTTGTACCCATCTTTCTAAAAGTTTCTTGTTATATTTCGTTTTTGAGATCTTCATAGTAGGCGTGTTTTTAAATAGTTATTATTTTGAATTAGCTATAGTTGCGTTCAGTATCGCACGCATGCGCACTTTATCTGTAGCTACATGTGTATAGCAGATTCTTTCTGCAACTAAAAAAGGATCAGACGACAAACTTCTATGACGACGGAATACAAAAACTTTCGGTAATTCGATATGATTCCTGTCTTAATTTGATGTGGAATTATGTGCAATTATGTGGAAAAGTGTAGACTTTTATATGAAAATAAAATTGTTACAAAAAGTGTCACTATTGTTTACATAGGTATCAAAACGGAATTTGCTTAAAAACATGCTTCCTAATAAAATAAGAACGGTTACTTTTTTCATGTTAATATACTAATTATTTTGTAGGGTATCTATGACATTTTGATTAAAAATGGAACTGTCGTGAGGCAAGAGACTAAAATATCTAAAGTTGATGCAAATGACGATAAGTCTGAACAACAGTCTATCCCAAAAGAAGAGACTCGAGTAGCTTTACTTGGAAATTTCTTTGTATCAGAAGGGAAACCGGGAAAGGTATGTGAACTTTTACACGAAATGCAACACCATAAATCACAATGTTTTTATTTTATAGGTCATTAAAGTTCACGTTAAAAAGCGCACAGGTGAAGATAACTTCATTACATCGATAAGGAAAGCGATAGTGGAAGAATATACGGATACATTAGTGGGTGAGTATTAAAAACTTTTTAATGTATGATATGTACAGTTGCGGTCACAGAATAGTTTACAGGTTCACGTATCTAGGAGCCCATTTTTTAAATTTTTTACTTCGTTTAAACGCACCTTTTACGTCAAAGTGACGTTGACAGTGGTGTACTAGCTAGAATAGGTAGAGTAAAATTAAAATATCAAAATATTTTACAAAATGAAAAATATAGAAAACAGTTTTTTGAATAAAATGGATTATGATCTTAATAACGAAAATAAAGAAGTCTTTTTTTTTAATATGCATTTTATTTTAAATCTATTTTATATTAAATAACGATAAACAATGATAAATAATAATTAATATTTGGTGGAAGCCCCATTCTTGTCAATACAATTTTGCAGTCTTCTGTTCATAGATAGCACCAATCCCCTCATGTTATAGTTAACAAGCTCTTCCCATGCCTGCTCAATTGCTTCCCATAATTCAATTCTATTCCGTGGTCTAAGGTTTCTTTCATTTAGTTTCTTTGTTAACTCTGCCCACACATTTTCGACGGGGTTAAAGTCTGCACTACGGGAAGGCCACGGAAGAACATTAACATCAGTTTCTTCTAGCCATTCTCGAACAATTCTACTCGTATGCACCGGGCAATTGTCATGTTGGAAGATAAAGTCGTTGTTGGGGAATCTCTGGATCACCGATGGCAACATTGTGTGCTCAGTAATATGTTTGTAATATAATCCTGTTAACTTCTCCTCTACATGATAACAAACGCCCGGGCCTTCGGCACTTATCCATCCCCATACGTTGACAGAGAATCCTCCACTATTTCTTAAATGATGCGTATACTGTTCATCATACCTATGATTTCTCGGCCTATAAACTCTTATTCGACCATTATTATACGACTGAAATACTTTTTCATCGGAAAATACAACCCTAGACCAAAAATTCTCATCGCGGTTTATAAATTCATTACAAAATTCAACTCGTCTCCTCTTGTGATCCTCAGTCAAAAAGGTTTCCGTGCAGCTACACAATTTAGCAGTCCACTTGCTTTAATTCTTCGACGTGCAGTGCGAATACTGCCTGGAAACGCTGCCTCTTCTCTTGCCTTTTGAGCTGTGGCAAAAGGAGATTCTCTCAAATAATCTACTAACATCTCATCCTGTTGATCTGTGGAAATCTTCTGCCCTCCTGAACCGCCCAACCGTGCTATAGAGTGAAAATTATCCCATCTTTGTTTAATCTTCCATATGCACATATGACTCATGTTCAAATCAGCAGCAACTTGCCTTAGTGACCAACCTTCTTTGAGTTTGGCAATTGCTCTTGCTTTTTGCGCATAATTCAAATGTATTCTAACCATTTTGGAAGAGTTTAATATACTTTTATTTTATTGTTGAACACTCGCGAAAGCATTGACGTTTTGAAATTTTTTGACTTTGACATTTATCAAATCCGTACGACACTGCAATTTTACAGTATTACAATATAAAAAGTAAGGTGTAAACTATTCCGTGACCGCAACTGTACTTCTTCTCTTACATTTTATGTCAACCACATACTCTTACTTGTCTTTGACTTACAGTTCTTTAATTATCAATGCAATTTAATGTACGTTTTTTATTTTTATTGCAGGTCTTGGTGGAGTATTCCTGCTTAAAGAAGGTAAAGCGAAACAGCACGTGATGCGCGACTTTTCGAAGACCCCCATAGAAAACGAAGAGATGCTGAACCAATGGCTCAAATTCTACAATATGTCGGCCCCTCTTATTGCTGTCGGTACTTTAGTTAATGGAGATGGAGGGGTAATGTCTACTTTTATTCTTAAGCAACAATTCTAAGATTTCCTTAAAACTTCTTTTTCATCGTTTTAGGATCTAGACTTGCGTGTACAACATTTCCACAGCTTTAGTCATCACAACGAGGCTGGTCATTACCACTACGATACAACGCCAGACACTGTGGAATACTTGGGATATTTCAACGTTGGCGAAGAAATCTACAGAATTGATAAACCTGTTGATACTCATAATTGGGGTCGAGATTAGACTATAATATTAAAGTAATGAAGTTATATGTCTTCCATAGAAGAGAAAGAGTATGCTTAAATTTAAACCAGGAGATTAATACAGAGACCAACAATGTTTATTTTAAATAAAGATATTTTCATAGTTTTGGGTAATTATTCATTTTATTAAGGTATGACATTTAGACGGCAGTGTATGCCTAGCACAGTTGAGTTTACTTAAACAAATAATGTAAGATCGCTATTTGATTTTGAATACTAAATTAAAGATAAATTGTATGGAAAAGTGACACAATTACTGACAAAGCATAGAAAATCGTTTAAAATGAGAGTTTGTA